GCCTATTGGTTTTTAAAAGGTATGTTGGTGTGAGTAATAGGCCAATCTTATTTGCAGGCTTCTGAACCCAAACGCAGCGAGAATAAGGGGTCTGGTGACGTTGTACATATGGAGGGTGGGATTCACTTTCTTTAAAAGCCAAGCATGTATTATCGAGCTCGTGCTAATGATATGTGTGTATGATGTGTGCACATGTATGTGCGTGTGTTTGTGCAGATATGACTGTGTGGGAATGCATGTGCATATGTAAGTATATCACACACACACACTCACCCACTTGGCCGAGAAGGTGATTCGACCCATGACTGATGTGACAGCCCTCGGCACTGTGGGATAATGATGATGTCAATACTGATTCTAACAGGGTTCTCCAGTTTGTATTGCAAGTAGTACTTTAAAGAATTTTGCACACGAACTAAGCTGGCGGCCCATAAAGTGTAATTTCCCATGCTCTTGAAAAAGCTTGATAAAAAGGGTTATTGGTGGAAATTGTCTAAGACCCTAATTACAGAAAGGTTACCTACTTGCTCATGCAAGCTCATTCCACTCAAAGGAACCTGGGTGGCTCTTTAGTGTCAGGAGACTGCATAATCATCAGCAATGACCTGGAGGTCTCACACAGGATGGCATCATCTCTTTCATGTCAGTGGTAAAATTTCATACCTTTGGTGTGTCACATCAGCATCTGTAAAACCTGCTCAGACAAGGGACAGGGTATCACAGCCTCCTTATCACTGGACCAGTTAGATCAAGTCTCACTGGATGTGCTCAATGGCCAGAGAGAGTCTTTGCCAGTGTTTTTTGTACTATACATTCTTAGGGCTGGGTTAATGAGGTTGTTCAGAAGATAAGGAAATGAAACATTATGTAAAGATGCAGATTATGAACAGAAGGTATCAAAAATATATTGTGCACCTTGCTTTGTACTGGGGATGAAACCCTAGCTCTCCTTTTCAATATCTTATTACTCAGTCGCTGTAGGAAGGAGAGAACTGAAGCTCTAAGTGATTAAACATGTGCTCAAACTAACGTAGCTAGTGAGGACCAGAGCTGGAAGGCAGGCGAGGTCTGTGTGACTCCCAGATGTGGCTCTTTGCTTCCCTCTCCCCTGTTGTCTCCTACTCTGTGCCCACGGTGGTGGAAAGATAGAGCATTATCATGGTATGTGAGCTCTGGGGATTTGGGAAGGTGAAGGTGGATGCATTTAGGAAGGAAGTTTATTTTGCACTGAAACTGTAGCAAAGCAGGTTGTGTGAAGCCTGTCTTGAGATAGCATTTGGTGACTAATGATGAGACCACACTTCTAAGAGGAGTACTCACTGCCCTAAGAGTAAGGGGACAGCACCTGGCTTCTCTTTTCTGAAGCCCGATCTTCTATCCTCAACTGAGAGTGCTCAGTGAAGAAACCCTCAGTGCAGGGCTTCTTCCAGATTGTCTTCAATCCTTGTTCTTTGTGAATGTGACCACGGGTTACTTGTGGTCTCCTTTTCTACAGTTTCTTCTTGACAAATAGGATTCATCATGGGGTCAAGGTCCCTCTCTTCCAGGATATAGGTCCTGGCTAACCCCTCTGAGCTTGGTTTGTTTCCTCTTTTATATTTTCCATAATATTATCCTGTACTTGACGTGCCCACTAATTATAGATGCCAGGTACAACATTAGTTCATTTCATTTCCACAACATTCATTCATTCCTTCCTCAGATATTTACTAAGCATCTACTATATTCTGAGAACTGTACTTGGCTACACGGATATCAAGTTTGGCAAGTATGGATTTTTTCTCATGGAGTTTATAAGGGAAATAGAGGTCAACCAAATAATACTGGAAATATATGTGAATATATATGCATTCTCTTTCTCTCATTCTTAAGTCTGAAAAGAAAGCATCTACTTCTAGATTATGAATAGAACTGATCGGAACTAACATTATTAAGCTCCCACTATGCACCAGATATTGTTGTCTTATTTAATCATAGCCATCCTATAAGGGCAGGCCTTGTATTCCCATTTTCAAGATGAGAAAACAGAGGTTCAGAAAGTTCGCTGAAATGATCTATTGTTAGAGTAGCTGGTTTGAATCCATTCTATCTGGCTCCCAAGTGTAGATGACCTCTGCTCCCAAAGTGGATGGAGAGAGGACTGGGAGGCAAGACCAGAAACACGGAGACCAGGTAGGGCCCTGCACACATCCAGGAGAGAGATGAGGTGGGGATGGATACCGTAGACTTCAGGCAAAGAGAACCAGTAGAATTTGAACACTGAATGTACTTTCGGGTAAAGGGAAGCCTCGGGTGGCTGGCTTGAAGGCTGGGCAGATGGTGACATCATTCACCTAAGGAGCAGGTTTGTGGGAGCGAGGGGAGGGCTGCTATGTGTCATCCACTTCTAGGGTAGGCAGGTAAGGATGTGCAACTGGAAGTCGGTTGAGAGAGCTGGACTGTTGGCTGTTTGCAGAAAAAGCTTTCTTTAGGATTGGCAGGTATATGACAAACGCTTTCAGAAGTGAAGTTTCATCTGCTCTCATCTATGACTGTTGGCTTTGCCACTTGGATTTTCTTTGTCCAACATTGTCTGTACGCTCACTTTTGCTCTCTTTCCTGAGGACAATACCCTGCGTGTCCCCTCCCCCACCGATCAGAATGCAGGTGGATGAGAATGGTATTTTGTTAAAAAGGAGTTTGTTTTTCGACTTTATGGTTTAAGAAGAAAGTGATAATTCACAAAGCCCCAGTTCATTCACGGAATTATACCAGATCCCCAAAGCATCGCCTTACCCATTCTAAATCAACCTCCTGGAACCTAGAATCTCTTGGCAAAAGGAAAAAAATGTAAGTATGATTTATCACTCCAGTCTTGCGGTCTACGTAATGCAGACTTTTCACTCCTGGGCACGAACAGTCCTGGGTGCCTCGATGCAGGCTGTAAACGTTTGCTTCGTGACTAGACGATTTGGCTTTTAATGGCCTGCGACCGACTAAAATAAGCACAAAAATATGACCACCACCAGGCCGCTAGACTACATTCCTCAGTAACGTTCTATATTTATCAGGAATTGTTTTTTTAATCTGATAATTTTCTAATATAAAACAAGGAGATCTGCACAAAAGGAAGTTGTTAAGTTTTAGATACCCGGATGACAGTCTCAAGAAGAACAAAATAGACTGTATTTGATGCAGGGTAAATATATGGCGCTGTCTTTGTCAGTAGATAGTTCATTGTGGACCATCCGCTGAAGGCATGCCCCACCCCGGTGATGAATCCTTTGTGGCTCTAACCTTCGGGGCTGTTATATCTCAGACAATAGGGCTGCACTTGACAAATGCCACCTCCTCCTCCTGCACCGATGCCAGACTGCTCGGGGGGTGTTCACAACTCCAGCCAGTGACTTCCGAAAGGCACTTCTCACTCAGTGATGGAGAAAGCTTGGAGTCTAAATGTCTGCAGAAATCGAAGGAGCCGGGATCCGGGATCCAGGATCCGGGATCCGGGATCCAGGCCCTGAACTCTGCTCTGCAAAGGTCCAAGATCACTTGGAAGCAGACCAGAGCGAATGCGGAAACAAAGCTGACCTCAGCAGGGAGCCAGGAGCAGCTAGGAGGCTCCACCCATCTCCTGCACCCATCTCCTGCGGAGGCTCGTTGAATGCTGCACCCCGAGGGCTGCTGAAATGGACCCAATGGCCCATGGAATTAGGGAAACAGGTGTAACTGGAGACCTTTTGGCAGCTCTCTGCTTTTAAGAGCCTTCGGGGAAAGTGGAGGAGGAGAGGCAGATCCCACTGAGGTGGAACCATAGTCAGGCCTGTGCGAGGGGGACTACTCCTGGGAAGTCGCAAAGCCCAAGGAGGGACAGAAGCCCAAATAGCCGCCGGGAGGAGAGACCAGTCCCCCGGGACGCCATCCAGAGGGAATGGCTGGTGACTGTGACTTGGCCGGCATGGCATTCAGACAAGTGGGGTCCACCCCAGATGGAGGCTACTTCACTAATGCTCTGATATTTTAGTAGGTTTTAGTGTTAATTTCTCTCTCCCTTCTCTTCAGACTTGGGAAGAACCATCTCTAAGGGCCCATTTGACTTGAAAAGCAGCCCTTTCTAGCCTGCTCTAGGATTGGGAAATACCAAGGCCTTCTCCCCAGATTACTTATGTCTTAGGGTCACGAATGGAGGCGGGGAGTAAGACAGGCCGGTGAACACACCGCATTATGAAGACTGTAGTAACTACCAGTTACGGAGCGTTTCCGACGACCAGGTACTGTGCTGTATGCTCTACACATTACTCATCGCCTCGCCAATACCGTCGGGGGAAGAGGTCATTCTTGTTCTTTCACAGATAAGAAAACCAGACTACTGAGATGTTTATAAACTGCTTAAGGTCACACAGTAAGCAGGATGTGAACGCAGAACTGATTCCAGCTTAACTACCCCTGAAACACAAGGAGCCAAAACTGTGGTCAAGAGAAAGTTACGATTTCATGAGGGTCCCCAGAGCTCACCTTACCACCCCCTGGTGTCAGTTAACATCAGTGGGATGGGTCCTGAAACCATCAGGGTGTGAGCCAGGGGAGGTGCCAGTCTCCGCAGGAGAAACAAGTGGTTTTAGTTTGACGCGATGCTAGTTTGGGGATGAAATACATGCTTTTTTATTTCCTATTAGACCCCACAGGATTGCCAAGTGCATCTATCTGATGCTTAACTGGCATGAAAACTCCCATTAGCGGTTCTGTTGGCCATGGACTAAAACTGTGCATCTTAAGGCAAGGTCCCGGATCAGCAGCATCAGAACAACCTGCAGACCAGTTGGAAACACAAATTCTCAAGCCCTGAATCAGGAGCTGCAGGGCGTGGCCCAGGCAGCTGTGCGTGAACCAGCCCTGCAGGTCCTCGGATGCACACTGAAGTTGGAGAATTGCTCTCAATCTCCTGGAGGTAACACCAATTGAATGAGTTTTTCTTTCTTTCATTTTCGCTTTTTTTTTTTTCCTTTAAAAATTGTTTTTACCTCATTTCCAGATCTTCATTCTCCTGCGGTACAAATTTGTACAAGGCAACATAGGTGTTCATCTGTAATGGGTCTTTGGAAAGAGGTCCCTGAAAGAGAAAATGGAGAAAAATTAGAGAAGAAGGAGAAAGAAATGGAGAGAAATAAGAAAAAAAAAACTTGTGACGTTAATGCAATGTAATTCAGTGCATGGCTCTTACGTGTTAAAATATCTAACCATTATTAAGGACTATGTTTCAACCACTGGTTTATTTTCAATTTCTTGGCTGAGACTGATGTTATTACAGTCCATTTGAAAACAATTAAGTGGAGGTCTTTGTCAGAAATACTACAATTTTTTTCAAATAATATTTTTTATATAGTTGTTCATAAAAGGTGATACAGGCTTGGCCCCGGGAATGAGAATATTCTCTCTATAAAAAGAGGGACATGTGAATAGGAGTAAAAAATATTCACTTCCTAAAATTGAGTTTTTTAAAAAAATGTATTTTCAATTACAGCTGACATGCAATATTATACTAGCTTCAGGTGTACAGCATAGTCATTGGACATTTATAGAATTTGCAAAGTGATCTATAAAATTGACTTTTTTTTCAGTTAGCCTAAAATTTGATGTCTAAAATATCAAAGAAATCCAGGTATATTTATGTGGCAATTAGTTCATTCAGGCTGTGAAATAAGCGCAAATTTTGACATGAGACAGATTTTGTTTATATCATGGAAACCTTGCAATAATGATAATAAAAGCTACTATTCTGATAGCTTACTGTGTGCCAGGCAGTATGTTACATGCATGAGCATACTGGAACCTCACAACGCAGTTTGTTATTCCCCAACTTGTAGACTATAAAGAGTATTATAAGTGTTTATAAATATTAGCTACTATTATTAACCAATTAAATATTAATGCTATATAAATGTTTATACATTATAATACCTATACATTAAAAAGCATATAATTATATAATATAGAACATAATTGTATAATATATACACATATAATATAATATGTAATAATACACAATTGTACACTATAAATACATAATAATGTAATAAATATGTGCTATATATAAAACAAACAAAAGTTGCACACAACTATATACTTTTTGTTTGATTCACTCTGCTTGCCAAAGCTTGAGTACCTTTATTTTGTTCTATTGATTCTATTGATTTATGCTATTCTAGTCTATGGATTCTGTTCTAATTATATACAAATGAACATAAAGATATAATAAATACATAGTTATGTACTATAAAATACAGTCACTATATTATGTAATTATATAATTTATGCACTCTAGAGTATATATCTACTTGTATGTAACATATATGTGGAGTGTGGAGACAAAAGCTGGTCTGTGACATCCATAAATACCTGGTGGTCTGTGTTCTTTGCTTGGTCTCTGAACTCGTCAGTGCCATTTTCCGGATACGTAAACACTGAAGGAGACAAGAGGAGAAGGCAGGAGCTTTACGAATCCGGACACCATGTTTTGGAAACATGCTTGAAAGCTGGGGCTTTATTATTTCCCGTACCCTAGAATCTACTTCTCACTGGCTTGTCCTGTTCTAAGTGACCCACGTGATGCTTCCCTGATTCCCTTCGGATTGCCTGGCGGTCGTGTGTGTACAACGCGGTATCACTGGGCCGCGCTCGGGCAGAAGCCATGCCATTTGTCTTTGTGAGATGTGTCAGATCGTGTGATGGGATGGACGGTGCCGGAGGGCCCAGCTTCATTGCATTTGAATTGCCTTTTCTAAATATCAGAGTCTCTGATCTGTTTTCAGTGTCTTGGCTCTAGTTTCTTAATGATATCTTATTCTATTTTGCAGATTAAAGCTTTAGTTTTAAATTTCAAGATAGTTCCTTGATCTCTTATTGTCAACGCATTGAGGCAATTATTCAGATTAGAAAATGAAATCATGGTTTCTCATTTATTTATTTTTTAAAATTTTATTTTATGTTATTTTTCCCATTACCATTTATCCATCCCCTCTATGCCCTCTTCCACTTCCACCCAGTCCCTGCTACCCCCGCGGTCACCACACTGTTGTCCATGTCCCTGAGTCTTTCTCTTCTTTTCGGCTCAGTCTCTCCACAACCCCCAGCCCCACCCCCACCCCAGAGCTGTCTGCCTGCTCTCTTATCTGTGAATGTCTCAACATTTAAAAACAACACATTGCTGCTCTATTCTTCCCTCGGGTCTCCCTTCAGGTTAAAGAGGAAATATCAGTAGAGGAAGAGAAACGCTGCAGAAGGCTGTCTCCTGTTTCAGGGAGTGCACTGACTGTCCTTTACACGGACTCGGAACTGTGGTGTAGGAAACACACTTCGGCACAAGCGCCCTGTAAGTGCGCCGACACCGAGTCAGCGTCTGCGCTCCAGGGTATCGCTCCAGAGCCTGCGGGCGATCCCCCGTCCCTAGGAGGCCAATACGCCCTGTTGGAGGAGCTCTGGGTAGTGGGTAAGTGGAAAAGGAAGGCCCCGTCCTGGGGACCTTGTCTGCCTCCATATTTGGCCCCTCAATTTAACAGCTGAAAATGAGTCGAGGCCAGCAATACTTCTCTCTGGTATAATGTGGTTACCTAAAATCCTGGTGTAAATACTCGATTCCATCAGTAGAAAATTGGATCCTTCTAAAAGAAGATGAAATTATTGAATGAAAACACGCAAAGGGAATCTTCCTAGAAAATTCTTGACTGGAGCTAAAAACGGGAACTACACAAAGTACATATGCAATGATCGGTTGGGACTGGGTTTATACTTTTGTAATTCTACACTATTTTAGCTTTTTATTGAATATGTACCCATTAAGTATCTGGTTTGAAAAGCGTATCATTTTGGTGAACTACATTAAAAAATTGTTTGAAGTGACCCCCAAATGTGCTTTGCTCTATATGGTTGCAAGCAGAACTGAACAGTGCCAATATGATTTTTTTTTTTTTCTCACCCAAGGACATTTTTGCATTTATGTTCAGAGAGAGTGAGAGGGAGAGAGGGAGGAAGAGAGAGAGAGAGAAACATCAATGTGAGAGAGACACATTGAGTGGTTGCCACCCCCACGTCCCCAACGAGGGCCGGAGACAAACTGCAACTATGGTACATGCTCTTAGCAGGAACCGAACCCAGGACTCTCTGGTCTGTGGGCCGACACTCTAACTGCTGAGCCAAACAGGCCAGGGCAACAATCAAATTATTTTTAATAAAATAAATTTAAAGCACCAAACATAAAAGTTGTATGATATATTTTTGATAAAATAGTTACTTTTCTTAATTCCTTTCCCCTCAAATCAAAGTCTTAGACTTGATTCTGGAAGGAATGGGTTTTTAAAATCATTTTGGGCCCTGGCCAGTTTTGCTCAGTGGTTAGAGCATCGGCCGGTGGACCAGAGTCCCAGGTTCGGTTCCTGCTAAGGGCACGTACCTCAGTTGCAGTTTGTCCCCGGCCCCGGTTGGGGTCGTGTGGGTGGCAGCCACTCGACGTGTCTCTCTCACATCGATGTTTCTCTCTTGCTTCCCCTCTTTCTCCCTCCTGCTCTATCTGAAGATAAATGCAAAAAAAAATTTTTTTGATTGTTAATTTCATCCGGGATAATTATTCTAAGACTATGTGCCTTATGCAGGCCTATTTTCTTTAAAAAAATTAAAAATGTATTGGGGTAACATTGGCTAATAACATTATATAACTGTCAAGTGTACAATTTTATAATGCATCACCTGTATATTGCATTGTGTGCTTAACACCCCAAATCCAGTCTCCTTCCACCCCTGTATATTTGACCCCCTTGAACTTCTTCATCTTTCCCACCTTCCCCTCTAGTAACCACCACACTGTTGTCTGTGTCTGTGAGTTTGTTGATTCGTTTGTTGCTTTCTGTTTTATATCCCATATATGAGTGAGATCATATGGTTCTTATCCTTTTCCATATGACTCATTTCACTTATTTTCTAATGTTATAGATGCAAAATGGATCTTTCGTTTTTGCTACGTCCCCAAAGGACTTCCTTCTGTTCCCTTTCCATAGTCTGTCCCTTTTGCTTTTCAGTCCTGTAAGGCCCATGTGCACCACTGTGTTTTCTAATGAAATGATTATTTCTACCTTTAACCTGATAACGCAGCCAGTTACATTATTGGCTTATCTGACATTGACCCAAATTTACGTCCCTGGAATAAGTCCAACTTGTAATTATGCATTACCTTTGAGAAATACATGATTACATTTTAGTTGACTAAGATTTTGTTTCAGATTTCTGCATCCATGTTCAGGAGGGAGACTAGCCCGTGATTTTCCTTTCCCATCCTGTCTTTGTTTGGTTTTGAGGACAGTATTATATTAGACTCATAAACTAAGTTAGATGCTGCTGCTGTCCTTTCTCTTTGCCACTTTTTGCTTTCCAGAAAGAACTTATGTAATAAGAAACTTTCTATTCCTTGCCCTGGCTGGTTATGCTCAGCGGTTAGAGCGTCGGCCTGTGGTCTGGAGAGACCTGGGTTCGGTTCCCGCTAAGGGCATGTACCTCGGTTGCAGTTTGTCCCCGGCCCTGGTTGGTCGTGCGGGCGGCAGCCACTCGATGTGTCCCTTTCACGTCGATGTTTCTCTCTCTCTCTTCCTCAAAAAAAAAAAAAGAAACTTTCTATTCCTTAAATGTTTGGTAGCGTTTACTTGCAAAGTTGACTGGGCCTTATATTTTCATTGTGCAAACATTTAACATATATATATATATTTTTTCCAAATCTTTATTGTTGGATGTAAAATGTATTACAGATGTTCCACATTTTCCCCCCATTGACCCCCTCCTCCCCACTCCCGCCCCCCTCCCACCTTTTCCCACTATTGTCTGTGTCCATTGGTTATGCATATAGGTTCTTTGGTTTATTTCTTCCCACCCCCCCAACCCCTTTCCCTTTGAGGTTTGTCAGTCTAGCAATGAGTTTGTGCTTCTTAATCCCTTCACCTTTTTCACCCATTCCCCCAACCCCCTTCCCAACTGGCAACCAATAAAATGTTCTCTGTATCTATGAGAATGTTTCTGTTCTTCCTGTTCATTTTGTTTGTAGATTCCATTGTTGATAGATATGTATTCATTGCCATTTTGTTTGTTCATACATTTTATCTTTTTCTTCAAAAAGACCCTTCATCATTTCATATAATAACGGTTTGGTGGTGATGAACTCCTTTAACTTTTTCTTGTCTGGGAAAGTTTTTGTATGTCCATCAATTCTAAATGACAGCTTTGCAGGATAGAGTAATTTTGGTTGTAGGTTCTTGGTTTTCATCACTCTGAATATTTCTTGCCACTCCCTTCTGGCCTGCAAAGTTTCTTTTGAGAAATCAGCTGACAGCCTAATGGGTACTCCCTTGTAGGTAACTAGCTGCCTTTCTCTTGCTGCTTTTAATATTCTCTCTTTGTCTTGAACCTTTTGCATTTTGATGATGATGTGTCTTGGTGTGGGCCTCTTGGGGTTCATCTTGTTTGGGACTCTCTGTGCTTCCTGGACTTGTATGTCTGTTTCCTTCACCAAGTTAGGGAAGTTTTCTGCCATTATTGTTTCAAACAGGTTTTCGATTTCTTGTTCTCTCTCTTCTCCTTCGGGCACCCCCAAGATGCGAATGTTGGCACGCTTGAAGTTATCCCAGAGGCTCCTTACTCTATCCTCATTTTTTTGGATTCTTTTTTCTTTTTGCTCTTCTGATTGGGGATTTTTTGCTTCCTTATATTCCAAATCGATGGTTTGCTCCTTGGATCTACATACTCTATTATTGAATCTGTGTAAATTATTCTTTATTTCAGTTAATGCCTCCTTCAATTGTAACTGTGCATCCATGATTTCTATCTGGTCCTTTTTTATGCTCTTGAGGCCCTCCCTAAGTTCACTGAGGTTCTCACTAAGTTCATTGAGCATCCTTATAAGCAGTATTTTGAACTCAGTATCTGTTAGGTTGCTTATCTCCCTTTCGCTTAGTTCTTTTCTTGGGGTTTTGTTCTGTTCTTTCATTTGGGACCTGTTTCTTTGTATCCTCATTTTGGCTGCCTCCCTGTGTTTGTTTCTGTGTATCACTTAATGAGAGGTATGGGGCTCGCTGAGACCCAATGCTGCTCGTTTGAAAGAATTTAGGAAAAACCTGAAGCAGGATCCAAGACCGGCCAATCCTATGGTTAAGCAAGTGGCAACAGCTTGAAAGTTGTGTGGGGCGGGGCTACCAGTGTGAGCCAGGTTGCTGGAGTCCCAGATATGGCTTCTCTCTGCCGCCCCCGGGAAGGGCTCACCAAAGGAACAAAGGCCTCTGACAGCACGTTTGTCCCCGAGGAAGCCCTCTCTCCAGCTCTCGCTCCAGTGCCAAACAGCTCAGTTCTTCCCTGTGTGTCTCTGGTGCCCCTCGAGCGGCCTCCCCTCCGAGCTTAGAGGGAGAGAGTCCGATAAGTCCGTGCGCGGGCC